ATAAACTAGTTACCAGTCGTCTAATATAAACATAATATAATTTTATAAACAATAATATATTTATAAAACACGTTATTAAGATAACGTACTTTTTTCCATTAGGAATAACAATTTAAAAAATCTGATTAATAATAATGGAATAATGGTCCTTTGTTCTACAAGCAAATGAAGTCATAATGATTAAAAGACCGGCACGAAATTTCATAAAAATTGAAACAACGCTTCAAAAGATTCATTTAACAGCGTGTGTACAGTGATTGTGAAACTTTGTTAAACTTAGCTTTGTATTACATTTTGGATATAATTTATAACAATTGTGTGTCCGCGCTGTATTATATTTGCATATTTAACAAATCAACTGTATTTGAATTATTTAAAAATGTTATTTGAAATATTATTACTGATTCCATTCAAAAAATATATAACGTTAAAATTATCGACTATTTAATAATGAAAGGAGAGTTCTACAGTCGTTATTTCATTCTATACAAAATGTTCTGACAATAAAACAAGTTTGGAACCTGTCTAATAACCATTCAGCTGCTAGATTTCAATGTACATTTTATATTCATAACGTTTCCACAAAGTGCCCCATATAATGTTCAGTGTACGCTCCGTTCCCTTTTTCTTGTTCTCAAACTTATTTTCACGTGCTTTCTCTAAGCGCATATTATATTCTCAAGGCTTCTACTAAGGTTGCCTCGGAACTTACAGTGTGTCATGCTTAAATATTTTGTTTGCTTAAATAACTATTTAGATTCCGTGTCAACCGTTCTAGAATATTTAGGAACTTCTTACTTTAATCCGTGGACTAGAAGTGACGCGGAGAGTTGTTATTTGGAGAATTATTTTATATTCACTCCACATATCGTGGCTTAAAGGAATAGTATTGTCTAGCTGAGAAAAAGAGTACATATACCTCAAATATAATGTTTTTACATAAATATAGAATTCTAAATTTACCACCTCAAGTAAGGGTTTAATAATTTTTCTATAATTAATATTTTCATAAAATCAAATACATACGAATCATATCTTAAGTAACATTTCTTCTTCTAGAGCCAAATAAATCTAAATGTAATATTAATTCGTCTTCCCTTCGTGTTCAATGTTTTGTTTTAGTGTAATGTTATCGCAGATCTATACGAAATGTATTTAACTTATGTTGACTGCTTATGAATGATGAAACCTCGGCGAACAGATTTGCGGTACATTAGCAAATCAAACGTCTGAACAGTTAAATAAATGGTGAATCTATATTTACTTTCAACTTTTTCTACTACCGCTATCGCTCTGACAGCTTATGAAAAAGAAAATGTATTTTATTTTTTCTATTTTATTTTATGCTTTTACTTTATTTTAGCTAAACGATCTCTAAAATTAATTATACTATTAGTATTATAAATGTGCAAAGCGAAGATTGTTCAGCAGTGCACTGCCCTATGGCCTATGCTGACGATAATAATAAATGCGAAAGTTTTGTGAGTATTTATGGATTGCTATTCTCTCTTTCACACAAAAACTGCTTAATGGATTTGTATGAAACTGACAGTACAAATAGTAACGTAGCTTAGACATACGAATAAGACATAGGCTTTATTTTATCGCGAAATTCCGAGAAGTTATCGTAGTCTATAGATGTCGCTCCCATTGGGTTAACATATAAATTGTTTAAAAACATATTTATATATTTCTCTTTAAGCTTTAATCAGACGTCCACGCGGAGGAAGTGCCAGGCAAAAACTGGTACATTATAAATGTCAAAGGTTATAAGAACCGGATCTTTTTAAACCTCTCCTTTAACTACTGTAAAGTAGGTAATACTTATTTACAAACTAAATAATCCCTAACAGACGGGTCATCGTTTTTGGGTTAAAGAAACTCGTTTAATTATAACAAACTATAAGTTAAAATTTAACACTGGAAAAAACAAGTTGTGGTTACTCCTCGAGTTGAGTCAGAATTTTACGGTTTTCTATTTTTGTCATTACCCATAAAAGAATATATTGCACTGGCTGCATTCAATGTGCATATGAATAAATAAATTGACCACAATTACTGAAGCGAAAAGGGAACGGTTTTAAAACACTCAATTACATACCTTTGGTACGGAATTATCTTTAGTATTTTTTTATATTCCATACCAAACTGTATACGTATTAAAATTTTAAGAATATTATTCGACAAATAAATAATATACATACATGAAAAATACTTAAACTTTATTTCTAATGGTTCATTGTCAATTGAGATACTAACTAGAAGTAAATTAATTTCACTGAAAAATTCCTGCCAAAAATCTAAGGTGAATATGAAATGGTCCATATATTCTTTAATAACAAAATAAACTTCTTAGTTTCATACAATAATATGTCCGTCTGTGTCCAAATTGAGTTTATTCCTATCTGGACACGTGGTATCTAGTAAATTTCTGATTAACGCGAGTATCTCGCCCGTTGTACAGGATTTGGTGAGTTAATGAGTCAGCGAGCGTCTGGAGTCTGCGACGTGTTCAGATGAAACGAGATAACGTAATTACAACTTGTTTTGATGTGTGATTTATTAATTTAATTCAATTTTATCTAATTACTAGTTCCTGCCCGCGACTTCGTCTGTGTTTGTTTTTGAATTAGAAATGTATAGCTGATCGGGCGAACTCTGTTTCTCTTTAAAGGCAGTGATTAAGATGATTTTGGATTTTATCAACTTATTATTTTTTCTTTTTTCGTTAGTTGAAAAGTACCCTCTGTCCTTTTCCTGGTTCCAATCTCACCATTAATTTTCAGTCAATCTCGTACAGCCGTTATTGAGTTATAAATAGTCTAACTAATACGAGTTTTGTTATACACAAGATTTTTTTAATATTTTAAAAACATGACGTATATAGTCAAAGGCCAGGCCTTTATTCAAATTAGCTGTGTTATGTTCAATTTACACATAAGTATGTCATTCATATAATGTTGTATGTTTTACGTATAAGGCATTTTATGAACTAATTCTTCTACCTACACATGTAATATAAGGAAATCTTTATGGATGTATAAATTCTAGTTTGTTCACATTTTCAAAAAGGAACTGGACATAATAATATATACTGAGAAACTAATTCTTTGACATTTTCATTTCATGTGACTTTATGTACAAACTAATTATATCGATCGGCTTTAAATCTACACGCCTCAATAACGCGGCAATTGGTGGTATACCTTTATGTGTATTAAATTTAAAGTAACATTTAGTACACTTTTATAACAATAGAACGTACGACCGAGATAAATAACCGTACATTAATACATAATACAGATCAGTTTAATATATAACAATTAACATACAAAAGTAAAACAAATGTACCCAAATAAATAACGAGACCTCACCAAAAACTCAGGATATGGATGTCGTGTGTAATCACGATATGACCCACTTGAAAAACTACTTACAAATATCGCCCTTACATCACATGTTATAGAGTTCACAATACAATTTAGCAGGCCATTGATACACCCCACTCGTCTACCGGGTCTAGTTTAATGAAGAGGTATATAAAGTACCTACAATTTCGTTATCTAAGTGACGCCTTTATACTTGGATATTTCTGTTGGAAATTTTCATAAATTTATTCTCTTCAATCACTGAGCATCGCATGAGTGTTAGCGTATCTTGAGGCTTTCGTTCAATAGTGAATTTTCATTTTACTGGAAATTGTGACTTCCATTTATATTAATGTTTTTTGTATTATGGGTGTTTCATTAAATAATAAACACTTTATTCTTAATACGTGTTAGTTTATTGTGTATACATCTTATTATCTAAACCGTGCGTTCATCTAATGCCGTTTAAGCACACTTCATTTTTAAATTCTAATTCAGTGCAGCAATAACAATATTGTTCCTCTATAATTCTGTAAATCCTACAAGCGTTACACATAGCTCGTAGATCTTATACTAGTCATAAGATTACATGAACAGTTTTATATCAATTCATTTCTCTACATTATAATTTTATTTATGGCAACTGAACCAAAAACTCCGAATATAAGGTCGAAACAGAATTATTATGAAAGAGACATAAAAGGTCAAATAAATACAAATTGACATTTACTTATAAATTTCGACACAGAAAACTTTTCATTGAATCTCTCCCAATAATTCGGATATGGAAAATATATAAAGAAATAATAATATTTTAAATTGAAAGATTATGTTTCCATTAAATTCAATATTATATATATAAAAACAATAAATTGCTCTATATATGTACATAATTTATTGTCCTTATTAAATCTATTTATGTGTATAAACTATTTTATTTTGAATATTGTGATATGTTTATTATTTATCAGGATATTAATATCTATCAAGCATTGTTACAAGCGATTGTTAAGAAAAATTATCAACTGTGACGTAAAATATAATTTTATAAAGAATTAAAACCAGCCTAAAATATTAATACAAAATAAGAAAAATTACAAATAACACTATCTCACTACCATTATACATACATATATAACATATAAATATATTTTCCTTATACAAATTAATTAAAACTGTGTTAACATAAAATCCGACTGGAACTAAACAAATAACAAAACATTTTAAACTTTAACAACTAACAATACAAACTTGAAATTAATAAAAAATATATAATGACCACTCTGTTCGAGCAGCGAGGGAACTGTGTTCATGACGTTAGTACGAGTTCCAGCGGCGAACTGAACAATCGTAATAACATTATAAGTTCAGAAATACATTTCGTTACAATCCTATTATAAGATCGTTTATGAATCTAACCTACATACTGTCTGTTTTTAGTTAGATGTAAACTCGTACTACGTGATCTGAAACACTCAAATCTCATACAAAACAAGCATTAATTCCTTGCCCTGTTTAATTGCATTAGGCGTTTGTTTTGTATAGCTATTGACTTCTATAAAAACAAATAGTATGAAGCAGGGTTAAGGGTTGTTCTAAATAATTCAATCCAGCGATATTTGTTCGTGAATATTATAATTTTGTATCACGCAGCATAACCGCTGATTCGTAGCTCGGTAGGCCGCTGTCGATTCTTATTTTGCATTTATTGCATGGCTCCGTTTTGACATCCTGGAAATCAAATACTTATATATTATAGTCCTTTATTATATTATTGATAATTATTATATACGTACCTCTAAGACATAACTATCTTTTAGCGTTGAAGCACCTTCAGTTATTACAACGGATTCATATGCCGGCGGTGGGCCGGGTATCTCATCATTGTTGAAGTCCTGGAAATAAAAAAATTATTAAAATCAAACAAATACCACTTTTCTGTGACGTCATAACGAGATACTAATCTTTTTTTCCCATTTCAGATGACGGGATGAACTGATCGGCCGAGGGAACTATTTGATTTTCGTTGATTGTGATGGTAAGTTAATATGAGTAAATTGCGAGGAAAGTTTAAGGAAATAAATGATATGATTACAAATATTAACTTGGATTTGTCCTGTGGAGTTATTTGAATTAATATAATTTATATTTATAATGCTGAATTTTATTTAACTAAAATCTAAATGCTGACTAGGACAGAGAAAAAGTCTGTTAATATTAATTGATTGATTGGGACTTATCAATTTATAATGGGGATGTTTAAAAAAACACCTATAGTCTCAAAACGATTTACACAAGAAGACTAGTTTAGTAGAATTAATGGAAAAATGATATATGGTGAACTGAGACTTGAGCTTTTACGAGAGTGGTGCCTTTTGGCGTTGATACCCAAACGGCACCATGCTAGCTATATACTACAGTAAAACATAGACATTGGTTACCAAACGTGTAGGAGAAATAGAATAATGACAGAATATTTCATGGTTGTTTGGTCACCAAAATACCTAACAAATATAAAGACTATTAATAAATATAGAAATAAAATAACATCACTCACTTCAGAAATATTACAAAAACTAATTTTACATATTCGTATTTAATAAAATTGGAACATATGAATAAATATTACATAATTAATTGAATGGAACCGAAAATAACAACTATGAGATATTTGATTATCCATAAGTGTGTTTATGTTTAAGTAATTTTCTGTTATTAAAAAAATAATATTAGAATATTTTATAAAATATTTAAAAAAGAATAAAAAACTTTATTTAATATTCGTTATACTTTTGAAGTTTAATTTAATATCTGTCAAAGATAATAATCAATACACATCAATCATCCGTTATCAGATGACTTCATACAATGAAATGACATACAATAGCAATGATTAAAGTCATTAAAATCTATATACAAAGTATTCATTTGAAGTCCCATTAAGTATTTATTCGACCAAGTCAAAATTCGAATGAATAAAAAGAAATATTTATATTAAACACGTCATACATTTTAAAAGTTTTAGTCTTAAATACTTTTATTTATTCTTTTCATGAACCTCTATAGTAATCTATATCAAGAAGATTTTTTTTAATCTTATTTAATAAAAAATCGTAGATTCAACGAGTCTTAAGAAGTATCGGGTTACAAGAGCTTACCAGCGCGACAGTGTAGATTGGATTCTGCTTGCCTTTTGCAATAGAAATGTAAAGAAAAATTTGTAGTTTTTGAAAGAAAATCATTTTTAAAGAAAAAATATTGCCAAACTACATTCAATCTAAGTATCGATTCCATAGGTTCAATCAAAATCATTGGATCATATTTTAAATCTCAACTAATTGAAGTAAGTCACAAAACCTTAAATATATAAATATTAAGACGATAAGAAGAAATATACTATTTATAACAGTACTAGCTTTCCGCCCGCAGCTTCGCCCGCATGGAGTTCAGTTATATCGCGTTTCCAAGAGAACCATTCAAAAATTTGGGATAAAAAGTATCCTATGTTCTTTCTCACGGTCAACTCTATCTTTGTACCAAATTTCATTGAAATCAGTTCAGTGGTTTGAGCGTGAAAACGTAACAGATAGACAGACAGAGTTTCTTTCGCATTTTAAATATTACTAGGGATCATTGTATTAAGTAATAGTTTTATCTAGTCAATATTTTATTAATTCGGACAAAGCCACTAAATTGAGCGTTATTACATAAGGATGATGGTAATCTTCTATATATATAAAAATGGATTGCTGTTCCTTAGTCTCGCTAAAACTCGAGAACGGCTGAACGGATTTATCGTATCTTAGTCTTGAAATAATCGTGGAGGTTCAGGGGAGGTATAAAAGCTGAAAAAAATTGATTCATTAGTGGGAAAACCATAAAAAAAGCCTTTTTCTATTTCCCATACAAACGATTTTTTGACATTAGACTTGACAACTAACTAATATGTCAATCATTCTGTTCGATTGAAACAGTAGAAATTTAATTAATACCAATACCGGGTTATTGAAGACGGAATAGAGTTTGCCCGGTCTGCTATACCTATATTACTAACGACGAAATTAACGCGGACGAAGTCGCGGGCAAAAACTAGTCTGTTAATAATTCAATTTATTATATAACAAGGGTCAAGTTGTAGGATTTGTAATAATTAATTCATATCTTATTATTTCTAGTTTACATTGTCCATATCTGCCTCCTTGATTATCAATATTCTATTTAATCAAAATATAATTAATTCATTTGTCCCTATAATATTTTTTTATTAACGGCTTCATTCGCACTGGAATTGTAGAATATTTTGAGAATGTCAACGTTTTTATTTGTTAGACGACTATTAAATTTGTTATATAAGTAATAAGAAATAAATTAACTTCACCATTTCGTTATGTTCTCTTACTAAACGTTTAATATTTGTCTATCGTCAAAATTAAAATTAATATTTAAATTATGTATATGGTATTTAAAACGATATTTAGGTTCGCAACAAAATGACTTTTTATTAAAACTGATTAGAAAATAATAAAATTATCATCATTGTTTTCGTTTTCTAATATTTTAACCGTATAAACGTGATTAATTAACACGTGATTTGAGATAAAAAAAAGCTATAGTAACAAGTAATCTTTACTAGGTTCCGTATATTGAAACATGTTTAATTTATTTATGAATAGTTCTAATCTGACTATCTATCCAACAAATATTTCAGTGATTGGACCTATAAGAAATTTCAAATTTAAATTTTAAGATAAGAGAGTAATGGAAATTTAAAACAAGTATTTATAATATGTACGTACATAATTAACTGTACGTTAAGACAGCTGCAAAACCACTTCAATATAACATGCTTAGTTTGTTATTCTTATTTTACTTGTATAAGACGATCAAAAATAAAGTATCTCGAACCGTAGATAGCAAAAACCAATTATCAGTAATGCGTCATAAGATATTCAGGGTCGATATTAAGGATAACATAACATTATTGTTGCCGAGGGGAATACGAGCCTTGCATTATGAACTAATGTTTTATCAATACTATCACTACACCTCATTTAATATCGTAATTTTGATAATAATAAAATCTTTCATTGGAGGTAAACAAAATAATGTATTATATTAATGAACCATATCGTCGAGGATAATGCAAATCCGCGTAACTACTTACTACTACTAATTAGTAAGTAGGAAAGTAAACACTTAATAATTGCTAATTATGAAAAAAATACCTTAATACATAGTCGTTAATTTAGAAAATATTTCAGCTTAAACTTTCTTCTGATAATCTAATGTAGATATGCGGAATTATCCAATGGTAGTTACTTGGATTTGTACTATGCCAGACGATATATGTATTTTTGTGTGAAATTTAAAATATTAGATAAAAATTTCAAAAATTAATTAAATTATCTAACGCAACGGTTGAAAACTATCTAAATACTGTGTCAGGAATGTCAGCTGGTCGCTTTAAAGGACCGAGAAAAATACTCCATTCCATTAGAAAAACTGAATTATAGTAAAGAAATACGGGCCTAAAAAATATTAACATTGAAATGGCACAATAAATCATTCACAAATGAAATATAAAATTGATTTTGAATTTAACGGCTGAAATATTAAAGACGTGAATAATATGGTATAACAAATTGAAACTTGAACATTTTCCATATGTATATAATATGAATCCTAGTAACTATGTATAAGATCACTGAATCGCTTTCAAGTGGATCCTCAACCTAAGTCTGAATTAGCCAGTACGGTCTAACCGTCTAACTTTCAAGTGACTTAGACTGAAAGCTCAGAGATTATTCTGATATCGGTCTTAATTAAAATTATATGTGCATAGAATAGTAAGAATGTAATCTTAAACACGATACCAAAAATCATGGCTATCATTCTTCTTCTACCTGGCAAGTTCCCAGCTTCAGCCAGGGTCTGCCTTACATGTTGTGAATAATTTTGGCTAATTGTTTAAACGACCGGCTGCCTGCCTGACATCAACCCTCTTTGGGAATGCATTAATCAGTGATGTCTAAATACTCTTAGAAAGTACATATGACTCGGAAAAATCACATTAGTACTTGCCAGGATCGAACCTTTTAACCACTAAAGTAAAACTAAAATATATAACTCACTACTACTAATAAAACAATTGTGACATTATCTACTAACATAACAATTATAATCGTATCCACATGAGTAGTAAAACGAGTCGTAAATCATTATATAAGTACAGCATCCATCAGGGCATCTCCTAGAGAGCAGAAACCAATTACCGTAAATGCGATTTTTATACCAGGGAACAGTCGTTAGACCGATTTTAACCCTATGGGGCCGGTCATACTCACTACCGGAATGTACGATTCTGATATTACTTACGTTTTTATCACGCTTTGAATTTATCGTACTGTCTGTTTTCATATAATATACCCAGCTGTTAACAGATCTATAACCAATTAATTAATTAAAACTGAATTTAATATATTCATAAGTAGACTTAATGAGCATGAATTAGCAAACGCCTTTTGGTCGAAATTCACCTGGAATTTAGTAATTGCAATTATTTTATTTAGGCAGCAGGAATATTAATTATGACGTCATTAGAAGTAAAATATTTAATTGTCTTATGAAGTAAATATTTGTTACGTTAAACATATTAAAAAATATGAAAAAACATGATCTCTTGACCGCAATTGATGCATTTTCAATCACCAATAAGAATTTCTTTTCATAACGGCAATTTAAAAATTAAATAACCCGAAATAGTATGGTAATGTAGTATTTTTCGACATTTTCTTTGCTTCTAAAGCTTGTTCTCCAAGGCACGCAGATTGAATCTCTCGCTTTGAACAAGTCTAGTGCTCTTTGACTACTCACTCCTGGAATCTATAATCGATTC